ACCCAGCCATAAGAAGAGATGAAATACTGCCATTTGTGACAATAGGATGGACCTTGAGATAATCATGCTAAGCGAAATAAGCCAGACAGAAAAAGTTGAAAACCACATGATATCACTTATATTTGGGATATAAACCTAAAAGCAACAAACACAGGACAGAGACGCATGGACAGGGACAATAGACTAGTATTTACCAAAGGTGGCGGGGGGTTGGGGGGCAGGGAGGGAGGGAGGAAGATAAGGTAAAAGGGGTCAAATATGTGGTGACAGAAAGAAATCTAACTATGAAAAGTGAACACACTGTGTAAATATATATATGCCTTACTGTTAAAGTGTACAGCTGAAACTTATTGGATTTCGTTAACCAATGTCACCGCAAAAAAATAATTAATTAAAAAAAGAAACTACTATGACCAATTCTATGCTAACAAAGTCATTAATCTAGAAGAAAATGATAAATTCCTCGAAACGTACAGCCTACACTATGACTAAATCATCAGAAATAGAGCATATGAACGGATTTTTAACTAGTAATGAGATCCAATCAGTAATCAAAAACCTCCCAACAAAGAAAACCCCAGGGCCAGATGGCTTCATAGGTGAATTTTACCAAACATTTAAAGAAGAATGAATACCATTCCTTCTCAAACTCTTCTAAAATATTGAAGAGGAGGGAACACTCCCAAACCAATTTTATGAGGAGAGCATTACCCAAAGCAGAAAAAGACATTACAAGAAAAAAAAATACTATAGGCCAATATACCCAATAAATACAGATGCGAAGATCTTCAACAGAAAACTAGTAAACTGAATTCAAAAACACATTAAAAGGATTGTGGTATTTATGACCATGTGCTATTTATCCTTGGGACACAAGGATGATTCAAAACATGAAAATCAATGTGATATACCACATTACCAGAATGAAGGATAAAAATCACACAATCATATCAATAGATATAGAAAATGCATTTGACCAAATCCAACATCCTTTTATGATAAAAATGCTCAATAAACTAGGAATATAAAAAATTTACCTCAATATGATAAACACCATATATGAAAAGTCTGTCACAGCTAACCTCATACTCAAGAGTAAAAAACTTAAGGCTTTTCCTTTCCTTTAAGATCAGGAATAAGGCAAGGATGCCCACCCACTCTTTTTACTTTTATTTAACATAGTACTAGAAGTCCTAAAGAGAGCAATTAGACAAGAAAAACAAAAATAAAGGCACCCAAACTAGAAAGTAAGACATAAAATTATCTGTTTGTATATGACATAATCCTATGTGTAGAAACCCTAAAGATTTCACAATAAAACTATTAAAACTAATAAACAAATTCAATAGAGTTGCAAGATACAAAATCAACATTTAAGAAAAACAATCCCATTTACAATAGCATCGAAAAGAATATACTTAGAAATAAATTTATTTCAAGAGCTGAAAGACTTATACACAGAAAACTATAAAACACTGATGAAAAAATTGAAAAATACACAAATAAATGGAAAGATATTCTATATTTATGGATTGGAAGTATTGTCAAAATATTGTCAAAATGTCCATACTACTCAAAATGATCTACAGATTCAATGCAATTCTTATTAAAGTCCCCATGGCAATTTATGTGAAAAACAAAATTTTGAAATTCATACGGAACCAAAACAGACCCCAAATAGACAAAGCAATCTTGAGGAAGAACAAATCAATAGGCATCACATTTCTTGATTTCAAATTACAGTTATCAATACAGTATGGTACTGGCATAAAAAGGACACATTGACCAGTGGGACAGAATAGACAGCCCAGAATAAACCATACATTTATGGTAAATTGATCTTCAACAAGAGGGGCAAGAATACATAATGGGGAAAAGATAGTGTCTTCAATAAGTGATGCTGGGAAAACTGTATATCCAGTGCAAAAGAATGAAACTGGACACTTATCTTACACAATAAACAAAAATCAACTCAAAATGGATTAAAGATTTAAAAATAAGACTAGAAACTCTAAAACTTCAAGAAGAAAACATGGGAGAAAAGCTTCTTGACACTGATTTATTGGATATGCCATCAAAAGCAAAGCACTAAAAGCCAAAGTAGACAAGTGGGAATACATCAACTAAAATCCTGTACAGCAAAGGAAACAATCAGCAAAGTGAAAAGGCAACCTATGGAATGGGTGAATATATTTGCAAATCATATATTTGATAAAAGATTACTATCTAAAATATATAAGGGAATCCTATAACTCAACCCCCCCAAAAAACAAATAACCCAATTCAAAAAATGGGTAAAAAGTTGAAAATCACATATCACTTAT